ATTTGCTGTTTTTATTCTCTAGTGTCTACTAAAAACTTCTTTAAGGAAAAGGCTGTGGAAAGTTATCAGTGTCTTCTTTAAGACCTTTTATTAAGACTCCATGTTTTCCTTTTAAAACTGGCACCTTGGTCTAACTTGAAAGTTTTCTTGAAAGGCTTCCAATACCTGCCTATACACCCCTTCCACTACCACAGCCAGCCTATGCTATACTAGTCACCTGGCAAGAAGACTCAAAGAGGGTCACAAAGTAGCATATGTATTATCTTCCTACATTTGCTGGGGGTGGGGGAGGTGGTTTTAAAAAGAACGGGACAAAAAACCCCTCTGAAAATTCCCGAAATTTTCACTCTCCTGTCAAATTTGAAGGTATCCACAAGATTCAAACAGTATACAAGGGGCAAAAAGACACTACAAAGACCAAATATAGAGTTTCTCTGCAAACGCCAAGGAACAACACTGCCCAGAAGTAATGTTTTCTATGCCTAACCACCATCCAAACAAATGCAAAATATCATGAAAAGGTATTAGGTTTACCTCCAGTCTTTTTTATTTAATTTTTTTATCCAGGAAATTAAAAAATGGCCGGAAATGTCAGAGAAATCAAAAAGTAATGGCAACTTAAATTTGCATGTGGAGACAGATGTCTATGCCCCAGAAGCCCACAGCTTCCAATATAAAGTGAGAAACTTCAAGTTGGCTGCCAGTAATACTGTTTAAGAACTTCTAGAAAGTTTCAGAAGTTGCAGACTAAATACCTGATTTATATTTCAAAAAACATATAAAGCCGATTATACTGACCTCTAACACAGAACACTGTAGGTGCCTATCACCACATACACCATGAAAATCTCCATAAAACCTCCCAGAAATTTTACAATTTGAGGTAGCATTTTATAACTCAGCAGTCCAAATGTTATCCAGATTCTCTAAAAATACTGCAAGCAGGAGCTCACTGGCAGCAATGTGGAAATAGCTTCTCACAGTAAACAGCAAGGAAGGAATATCTCAGACAACAACACGCTACCACGCAGGGGAAGAAATCAAAGCCTCAGTAATTTAACACTGAAATTCATTAATAAAAAAAGTTTGGAGGAGTCTCAGATACCGCTTCAGATGGTTTGCTTCATGATATCAGCAGCTGCAGTGATTGTAGCAGAAGCACTACTAACAACTGGCTACACAGTTAACACATAGACCTGGACACCAAATTATGAATGATGAGATCACTGCAGCAGTGAAAACAGCAGAAAAAACATCTGAAAAGATGACACGAGGCAGCATTGCCCATCCCATTCAGATATACCAACTGCACTTGACACAGCAATGAGGTGGTTTGAATGTCAGCCAAAAAAAAAAAAAATCAGATGCAATACAATTCCTTACTCAACTGGAGCTACGTGACTTTGCAACACAGGAGAGAATTGGTGTAGTAAGTGCTTGAAAGTAAAAATCGCTGCGCTTACTTATTGTGTGTATTGCAAAGACTCACTTTTTAATACTGTGCAGCAGGAAAAAAGCTTTACAGTATCAAAAACACACATCTACATAAATGTGCCATACCACATTTTTATTTTATGTTACATTGATAGTTTTTTCTCACCAAGGTGATTCTCAGAGGGCCCTTGGTTTTGGACTATCGAAGAAAATAAAAATACTTCTTCTCTATTCACAAGATAGAAGGTTTTCCAATTCTGATTAGATCTTTAAAGATTCAAAACTATATCATCATTTTCTACTCACCATTTGTGATGTGCTAACACTAAGTCATAACTCTAAAGCAAGTTATCTCTTGCGCTTACAGATCATTCCTCCCCACTTGTTTAAAGCCTGTGTTTCTAAATAATTTGAGGACAGCAAACCAGTAGTAACTATCTTCTGTAACAACTGCTTTGCAACATCCGTACTGTCACCTTTCAATTGAATTTGGGGAAAGTATTGGAAATACAGATAGAGCTCTCTGCTGAGACAAGGAAAGCTACTGCTCTCCTACTGGGCTAGAAGACAGCCTGCACATAGCGAAGAAGCAGGCTGAGTACAGGGCCACTAGTCAACCTGAGAGCCAGGCCATCTGCCAGCAGTCGGTCAAAATGAGGAATGCCAACTGCATTTCGAGCGGTTAGCTAGATTCTGTACTTCATTACAGTCCAAATATGCACTCCTATCCCCAATCAGCCATTGACGGTCTCCCTCGGATGACAACACAAAGGGTGCATGTGGATCAAAGGGAGGTGTTCTCTTCCTAACAGTAACCTAAGCCGTTTATTTATCATCAAGTTTATTACTGTGCATAAGGAAAATCAGATCTTCTTATTATTGGAGTCATTTCACCCTTCTACAACTCTTCCCTTTCCTCTCTCTCTCTCTCTTCCATTTCCTTCCCCGATCTTTCAAATTCTCACTAGCAGCAGAGTTCACTCCTTCCCCTCCCTCTAAGACAACCAGCAGTAGGAAATTTAGCTCCAATATCAAGATTGGCAGGATAGAAAAGGTCAAAACAATTCTCACTCGAGACTCCTGAAGACTCAAGCAGTCACATTTCTAGGTCTGCACCTCTGCAGCTGCAATATTTCAAAATATGACTTTGCACATTTTTGAAGCTATATTAGTCAGATTCAAGTTCTGGACCATATGCACATCCGGCAACCTAACGCATGCACAGCACAGGAGCTGAAGAATTGGTCATCTAAACACAACCAGTCCGAGATTTAAAAGCTCTAGACTGGCTGCAGACACTTATAATGCATACATGGAAATATACAAACCACCGTACACACCACCCTATAACAGATAATAATCCCGAAAACTCTAAGGGGGATCCCTCCAGAGGAAATCTGGAGTTTCTAGGTCTCTCTTCTGCTGCCCTCCACTTCCCCTCTCCAGGAGAAGAAACATCCCCATGCCATCGCACATCTTTGAAGTGAGTCGTGTGAATTGCTCCAGGTTTTTTCTAGAAAAGCATGAAAAAAACAAAAGCACCGAGAAGGAAATTTATGCACCAGCTTACAAGTGGGTGCGCTTCTTGGTTGTATTCAGGGGAATTGTCGAGAGCTATTAAAAAAAAATTTAGCACGGACACCAGCCTCATGACTGAGCTCTTACCACGACTCTGTGATGAATACCAGTTCCACTGTATTATGAATCAGTGTTCCCTCTCACACCTGAAATACATGCACAGCTTTGCATGCTGTGCACTAAGGCAGCTGGATGAGCATCAAACTCATTCCGTAAGATTTGTCCTTGTTATTTTTACTGCTTACAATTCTGAGCAGTAACCATAGTTCAGTCTGTTTCATACAAGATAAATGCTACCCCTGTGTTATTTTTACCTCATCTCCTCTATCACCTATTAGATAACTTGACTTTTTAGAGAAAATCCAGTTTTATTTTTCCATCCACTATTTAATATATTCTACACTCAAGTGTTTTACAATGGTTGCCAACACTGCGTACTGAACCAAGAGAGCTTCACGGCATTATAAGTTGTGACATTCGTTCACTTCAACAAGTAACAAGGGTGCTGTTATTTCCTATGAGGGCTAACGAACCTTACTGGAATCACTTCGTAACTTTTGTAAAGGGAGTGCTCACCAATTTGAGGGCTTCAATTCACATCACTGCAAATCGAGTGGGAAAGAGCAGCCCAGCACAAACATCCACGCTAGCTACAGGACCAAGCTATCTTTTGATAGCTTGCAATGCAGCTACCTGTATCTCTGTTGAGTGACTCCAAATCATTCAAGTCTTAAGCTGAAGTTGCACTCGGAGGGTCAGCTGAAAGTACCCCAAAGTTGAGAGCCCTTACAAAGCCTGGTAAATGAAAGTCGAAGCAAGACCCCGCCCCGCCAGCACGAACACGCTAATACCGTAAGGGCCGACAGCTCAGAGCGCACCTAGCAGTAACCAGGCTGGCCTAGCATGTACCGGTACGGATGCCCCCGACGTACAGCTCAAGCCCAGGTTTAACTACTCGCTGTGTTTTGTCCCTCCTCGCACAGGAGGAGGAACCCGAACACCGCGCCGCCACCGCGCTCCCCCGGCCCAAACG